TGTAAGACACCAATTAAGGAGAGAATATCAGCAATGCTTAAGTGCTCTTCCCCAAGTACCTTTCGTCTGATTTCGAGCTCATTCTGATGAGACTGTAAAGAGGATGTAGGGTCCCCTAACTTATTCTGTAAGACACCAATTAAATGGTAATTGTCGGCAACTCTCGACTGTTCTTCTCCAGGTAGCTTCCGTCTTATGTCAAGCTCACACTGATGAGACTGAAGAGAGGAGGTGAAGTCCCCTATCTCGTGCTGTAAGATGCCAATCGAATGGTAAGTGTCGGCAACATTTGGATGTTGCTCTCCAAGGAGTTTTCGTCTTATGTCAAGTGCTTGGTATGTAGACTTAAGAGCCGCGGCAGAGTCGCTTAACTGATGTTGCATGAGTCCTAATAAATGGTAACTGTCAGCTGTTCTTAGGTGTTCCTCCCCGAATAACCTTTTTTTAATTTCCATTGCTCGTTGTACAGAATGAAGGGCAGAGCTGGAGTCATGCAGGCTCATTTGAGTGGCACCTACTAAAAAGTAACTGTCTGCAGTTCTTGAGTCTTCTTCGCCATACAGCTTTCGTCGCATTTCCAAGGCACGGTCTGAGGATTGGAGAGCGGAGGTAAATTCACCTGACAACATTTGAACGACCCCTACTGAAAATAAACTGTTTGCTATGCTTGGGTGTTCCTCTCCAAACAGCTTTCGGCTTATTTGCAACGCGCGTTGTGCAGACTGAAGAGATGAAGGGAAGTCTTTTAACATGAGTTGAACGGCTCCTACTGCAAAGTGACTGTATGCTGTTCTTGGGTGTTCTTCTCCAAACAGCTTTCGGCTTATCTCCAAAGCACTTTGTACAGACTGAAGTGCTGAAGGGTAATTTTCTAACGAGAGTTGAACGGCCCCTACGACCAAGTGACTGTGTGCTGTGCTTGGGTGTTCTTCTCCAAACAGCTTTCGTTTTATCTCCAACGCACGTTGTGCCGACTGGAGAGCTGAAGAGTAGTTGTCTAACGAAAGTTGAACGGCCCCTACTTCGACGTGACTGTCTGCTGTGCTTGAGTCTTCTTCTCCAAACAGCTGTCGTCTTATCTCCAAAGCACACTGTGCAGACTTGAGAGCTGACGGGTAATTGTCTAACGAGAGTTGAATTGCCCCTACTGCGAAGTGACTGTCTGCTGTGCTTGAGTGTTCTTCTCCAAACAGCTTTCGTCTTATCTCCAGCGCACACTGTGCAGACGTGAGAGCTGACGGGTAATTTTCTAACGAGAGTTGAATTGCCCCTACTGCGAAGTGACAGTCTGCTGTGCTTGAGTGTTCCTCTCCAAAAAGCTTTCTTCTTATCTCCAACGCACGTTGTGCAGACTGTAGAGCTGAAGGAAATTTTTCTAAAGAAAATTGAGTGGCCCCGATGGAAAAGTAACTTTTGGCAGTGTCTGGGTGTTCTTCACCGAGTAGGTTTTGCCTCATATCAAGAGAACGCTTGGAATACTCAAGGGCGGAGAAAAAGTCGCCTGCTTTGTGTAGCATAATGCCGAGTAAATAGTAAATGTCAGCCGTTCTCGAGTCCTCCTGTCTGAGCAGTTGGGTTTCCAGCTCCTTCTGAATATACTGAACGTTTGCTTTTACAGAGCAGGGGATCTCTTCACTTTTAACCTTTTGGCCAGCATCTTTAGACTCAGGCGATGACATGTATTCCTCTTTGAAATCAGAAAAGTACAGTTTTAAACACTCCAACGTATCATCGGTTTCTTTCTCATCCGCATTCTAAAATCCCAAAACATAATCACAACTACGAAAAAAGCTTTTCAGGCGTAAATAATACTATTTTTACGTCTTCGTTTCATCTGTTTCATCATCGTTTCGTCTTTAAGTATCGTGAACAAACGACTGATTTTTTAAAACATATATTACATTTTGTAGGAAAAGTCACTGATTGCTTGAATTTTCTTAATAAGCCAGAATAGGGTTACAGTCTGCGGAGGTGCTTCATACCCCTGGGCCAAGAAAAGATACCTACCCTGGGGATAAATAAAAGGTTTAAGAAATTGAGCCGTTTCAGTTCCACCACCAAAACGTTTTTGTTTGCTTAGGGCTAGGTCATAATCATCATTATCATCATTATTACCACAACAATAATACTGAAAATATCAACGAGCTTTAATATCATTATTACTGTCATTATTACCTGGCCTGTCCTGCGTTGCTGATAGTTTCAAATCCTTAAGCTTTTGCTCTATTATCTGGGCGACGTCATCTTTTGTTGGAATTATTTCCACTGTAAGCTGTATATCTCTTATAGCTGAATTTATTCCCTCCACAACTAAAGGTAGTCCTTCCAGGCTTTGCAGCTGTTGCTGCAGAAAACTGACAAAAGCACGATACTCTTCTTTGATACGTTCCTCCAGTTTGCGAACCTCATCTGTGGGAAATTCCTTTTCCGTCAAACCGCCAATGACATCAATATGGTTAGTCTTGACACCAAGCGCCTTGAAAGCATCTTTAGCGAGCTGCACGTAGTGATCAAATTTAGCTTTTTCGATTTCAGAACTGTGCGAGTGGCAAAGTGTATTCCGTAAAAGTCGCAACTGATCGATGGCGAGTGAGAAAGTCTCAGCATCGTCACCTTGTGGGCTCACCACAGACGCATGAAATGTTCCAAGAGCCAGTTTACGAGGTTTTATGTATAGCTCACTGAGTGTCTTGTGATGACCTCTACTGTCGGGTTTAGAAAAGGACTTGGCGTAGATGGTGGCCTGGAACAGGGCGGTACAATCCCATTCTTCATAGGAGAGGTTTGTAGGAACTTTGGTTTTTCCAGAGCCACCCTCTGAAGTGAAAAACAAATTTCTCACGGCAGTGGAGTCATCCCACGGTTGATGACCGGGAAGATGTCTCATGTTGTTGTCCCACATGGATGTGAAAGTCTGACGTAAAGCCTTTGGGAATTCATTGAGAGCAATGGAAGCGAATTTAAAATAGTTCAATTGCTCACTACGAAAAGGCTCCAGTGCCATTTCGGCTTATCAGATGCTGGGAAACCTCAGACAGTAGGTGTCCAAACTCTTCAGAAATCAAAATAATGGGTATAGCATTATTTTAGGAGAAACATTTCGACAGCATCTCAATTGAACGATTGACAAAAGATAAGTTAATTAGTAATTGAGTCACTGGGAAGTATGGCATTTGGGTTTATCAATTCTGTATCAACTGAGTCTGGTATGGTGTATCCATGAGAAGACACACGGGGCTTGCACTTTAATGGGAATGGGGAGAGGGGGTACCTGTAAAATTTCTCCTCCGTTAATTGTAAACTGCCGTCGGCAGTCTGGAAAAGTTCCCCACACAGTGTTGTAAAGCGCATTATAGCATTTACATGGAAATGCGCTATAGGAATCGATATATTATTATTATTATTATTATTATTATTATCTCGGAGAGCTCCATTATAATAAAATTATAATAAAATTATAATATAATTATAATAAAATTATAAGGAATTGTATGGAGCTTTTTCAGCATTAGTCGAGGCGTGATGGGTGTTGTCACATATGCTCCCTAACCCTAACCCGCCACGCCACGAATAACGCTAAAAAAGCTAGCTCCATACAATTCCTTATAATAAAATTATAAGGAATTGTATGAAGCTCTCCGGGATACTTACAGTGTAAGCCCTGTGTGTCTTCCCATGATTCGGTAAAAAGTCCGTCATATTTGTGTATTAAGTCTGTAAGAACTGGGTTACATTGGTTCATCAAGTCACATTCATTCATTTATTCTCAGTCAGTCAGTCATATCATGTCTTAAGACGTTATGTCACTCATAGCGATTGCCAGGTCTGGCCCGAAAGGTTCGTCTCCGTATCGATAATGTTCTTCAGGTGATATAAGGTCAACCAGTTCGTCTCCCTGCATCTTGCGGAGGAAAAAAAGAGTGGGTTTGATCGAGGTTGTTGTTATGCTATGCACTGCTTATGGGGTTCTACGTACAGAGTTTTCTGAGTCCCTGACGATATTTTGCCAACGCCTCGATAAAGTCGATTCGCTTACACTTTTTTTGCTGATTTACAGATAGATAAAACTATTACTAGAATCGAATTCGCGATGAGTCGAGTGTATCAAAACTGTGTGTCAAATCAATTAAGCGTCAGTGGTATTGTTGTATTTGCTCTTTAAAAATGTTTGTATGGTTTGCCATGTAGGTGCTGGGTCGGTAATGCTTTTTTTTGGAGAGGGGTGGGGTCGTTAGTTTTGGTTTGCCAAATCAATCGATATCCAGTCATTTTCTAACCAGTCCTTTCGAATCCAAACTTTGTCAGGTTTAAGTCGGTTCTTACCCAAACTGCTCAGTGGTCGATTCGCACTTGTCCCAACATACATTCATTCGAAATACCTGATGGGCGAGCGCGTGACAGATGTCGATTGTTAGGTACCATAACTTTATAGTTGGATCAAGCAAGTAAGACACAAGCAAAATTAAGTTGAATATACTTGTGATCTTCTTAACAAAAACTATGTTTAACAGAATGATTTATTGTTTATACTTGTGACTTGTCTTAGTAACAGCTATTATAAGTGTACTTTTTCTACTTTCTATGAGCGTTATTCCGTGGTCCGGAAACAAAAATTGGACGCCACCTTCACAAAACTTATTTAATACAGGAATACTGCCATTTACAATAAAACACCAACCTTACTTTAAGATGAAAAACATGCCTACTTGGTATGTGTACAAAACGACACAACTGACTGGACGTAGCTGGATACAAAACAACCGTGGGTACGAATCGACCAATCAATCATCTAGCTATAGCACCTTTTCAACCATGATGACATTTACTGGGGCGGCATCGGGGTCATGTGGAAGGTATGGTAGGAATTGTAACTTTTATCACATATAGCAATCGTCTTACTTATACTTACTTATAAAACGAAGAAGTCAGCCCTTTGTCGTTTAAATGTGAAGTCACTCGCGTCAAAAAAGAATAGGGGAGTGATTATTCAAAATCTCACATAATTTATAAACTACCTGATTGAGAATTATGCTAAACTTTTCCGTTTTGCTAAGCTCGCGATAAATACCTGCCTTGACTGAACGGTTTTTTGACAATTGCAAGAAATGGTGACGTTGGCGACATAGAGCGGTTATGTACGCGATAAAACTGTAGGCGGTAAAACTGTAAGTACGTTTAGGGAGTATTTAGTCAGTTCGATGTTATTCAGTTATTCGTTTATATTTAGCATTTAGTTACTACATGAATTCGAAATCCTAAGTTAGTTGGGTTTAAGCTATAGCGATGAGTTCCAAATTGAGACTGTCTTGTTTAACTTCAATAAATGGACGTGTTTACTTTGTCTCAGTGCAGACTCTGCTTTGGACCCACTGAAAGTTATTGCTTTGGCTTGCGCAGCTAGAGGTCTGGCTACTTTTGCAACTATGTAACCGTTTTGGGTTACCAAAGGATGAAAAAGGGGACACTAAGCAGTGGTGGATTTGTTGGGGGGTTTTACCAACCCGTTTGGACGAATTAACGAGAGGTACCAAGACTCTTTCTCATTTTATTCTTTTCTGGAGAGCTACTACAGCAACGCTCTATGCATTTAATCATCATCATTTTCATCATGCTCTAGTGTGAGGAACCAGCGCTTTAAGCAGGAAAATCGTAGACCTGTTTGGGTTAGTTGACCGTGAGAGTTTCTGCAGTGTATTCGTTGTTTTGCAAAGGGGGAAATTGGGTGGCTCGCTCCGAAGTACTTAGCGAGCACCAAGGAACTAATTAGACCCCAATGATCGAGCTGCGCACGAGAATCCCGCGCACAAACAGGATCTTCAGTGTGGGTAAAACTCAAGGTCAGTTTTACCAACCCAAACATGACCACCTATAAAACTAATTATTCTCAACCATAACAAGCGATTAAAATGTCTAGCACGGTAAGAAGGAAATCCGCGAACTGAGCCAAGTTCAAGCACGCACTGAAAATAAAAGATCAAAACTATAAATTTATCAAAATAACACGTAGGCGTAAAAAGGCGAGACTCAATAAAACAAAAGGTAAACCTAAAAATACTCGAAATAGCAATTCTTTAAAATACTCTACAACAGGTTTCCTATTTCTTTTTTCGAGAATGCAATAGGAAATGCTCGAAGTTCGTAACAGTCACCTTGCATGGAAGACTCTATCGAATGGTATTCGGAGAACATTAACAGCTATTACAAGTCCAACATTAAATTTGGCCATCTAAATATAAACTCCATTCAGAACAAGATGGATGAAGTACGGGACATGCTTATTCGGAACATGTCTCCTGTTCATAGTAGATACGAAAATTGATTCTACATCAGTCTGACGAGTTATTTCGGCAATCTGGATACCGCATAATACGCCAAGATTGCAAGAAAGGTGGTGGTGGTCTAATGGCTTTTGTACGCGAGGATTTAAAAGCGTATCGTCGACGAAAGTTAGAGCCAGATCAAGTTGAGTCAATTTGTCTGGATGTTATTGACTCACGAAAGTCACGTTTTATTATTTGTGCAGGCTATAGATCAGAAAAGATGAGCAAGCTGACAGATTTCTTACTTTCGCTCACTTCTGCCATAGAACTTATGTACAAGTGCCGACAGGAAGTAGTTTAACTGGGGATTTTAACCTAGACATCTATGTCAACCAAGATGAGGGGAGGAAAGGAAACGCAGCACTTCAACAAGGGTTACCGATAAAAAAAAAAACGCTTATAGGTGGTTTGCACGTTACGTCATTGCCGCCATGTTGGTGGACGTAAACAATAGATATCTCATTAGCTCCTTTTGTTCGTCCACCAGCATTTGTTCTTTTCACCATTGTTACCTGTGTCTCTAGAGATTGGTTGCAAACCACCTCTGGCTAGCCATCCTGAACGTTTTGCCACCTGCGGTAATTTGCATTTGGGAGTAAGCGACCATGATTTAGTATTTGCTGTTCGAAAAATTAAACTTGCAAAGCCAAAAGCACGTGATATCGAATATCGGAGTATGCGACAATTTAACAACGAGGCGTTCTTGCAAGATTTAAGAAACGTCCCTTGGGATACTGCCCATATATATGATAATGTGGACGACTTGTGGGATCACTGGGCGACACTTTTCACTGAGATTCTCGATAATCATGCGCCAATTAAGAAAAAGCAGATCCGGGGTGATCAGTTACCGTGGATTACGCCAGAGATACAGCGTGAAATCTCGCGGAGCAATCGTTTATTCCAACTTCACGCTTGAAATCCCACTGAGACCTCATGGAACGATAATAGGAAACAAAGAAACAGGTTCACTTCACTTAAAAGAAGAGGTATGAAGTTTTTTTGCATAGACGCCTCCATAAATTCATGGCGAATCCCTTGTGACTGACACTCTGACTGTGGCTAATACCTTCAACAAGTCAGCTCAGTGAAGTGGCGGTAACTGAAGGGATGGATGAGATTACTGATGATTTTGCAGATCACCCAAGCGTTAAACTCATCACTGAGAAAGGCAATAATAAACTGTGCTTAAGTTTAAAACTCATGAAACGGCTAGCCACAAAATCATTAATTCTCCTCTTTGAACTGTAACGGTCAGTGATGACATTAAGTCACGACAAAGTTTCTGATAATGGCACTCAAGTCAAAACACAGTCCTTGATAATGACACTCAAGTCACAACATAGTTATCGACGACGCGACGACATAGTTATCACGAAACCCGACTAAGGGTCTGGTGTTGTGGTTCTGGACAAAACCGAATACTTGCGATTACTTTCTGAAGCCTCAGTCATACAAGCAAGTTCCGTGCC